AATGTACACAAAAATCAAAATTAAAATTTACATGTATGTCGTTGTTATCAATTAGTCCAAACTATAAGAGGGATAATGAAATTTACAAAGTGAAGGCACAATTTAATTATTCTTACCACTTCGCGAAGGTTCGGATCTATCTATAAAAAATAATGATTTGAGACTTAGATAAGACAAAATAATAATTTTGATAATAGCAATGATAATAGCAGGAAAGTAAATAAATACTCACATAACCAAATACGGTGAGCTCAAAAAAACCAGCACTGTGCCTACAAAGTTAGTAATATAGTTAGGAGGATTTAACAAATCTATAAAACAAATCAAACCAAGTGAGAGTAAAAGAACATTCAATCACAAAAGAGTAGGATAACAAAATTAACCAAATTGAATGATGAACTAATAGATGTTAATAAGCTAGAAGGATTCAAAATTAGTGAACGTAACAAAAACTTGTAAATTCATTCCATTTAACTTTAGGGATGACATTTGTGATTACCACCTATTAACAAACCCATAATGTAACTTAGAGATCTAAAACCCACCAAATGAAACACACATAAAAAAATGGGGCTGCCTTAGAAACTTAGCTCCACAAATTTGAACATTATCATATTCTTTGTTGTAAATCTCTGAGGCAATATTTGGTCCACCAAGATAAAGGATGTTCTCTATTGGTAGTCTAGCTACAGGCATGTTAGAAGGAAGGGTGGGAGGTCGGAGGTGGACAAATGAGGAAAGCAAAACAACAACATGCAAAAGGGTATCAACTTCTATATAAATACAATAAAACCACAACATAAATGAGAAAAGATCCCTACTTCTTTGTGTGCAATTGTATAGGTGTGCATTTAAGTAACGACCATCAAGGAATGATGGTGCAAATGTTTCTATTCAATAAAAAAGGTATGTAGACTGCTGAAAATCAATTTTCAAGAAAACAATTGCTTAATGAATCACTTGCAATCATTAATGAATCACTTGCACTCAAAGTTGTTAAACTAATAAAAAGAATTCTTCAAGAACCAAAAACAAATAAAAAAGACCAAGAAGAGGTATTTGTAGTAAAATTGAATGAAAGTTGTTACCTTCATTGGCTTAATTTGGGTGAAGCACCGCAATCATGAAATTCATCAAACACCTAAATGGGAAAAATCTATACTATTTTTCATGAATGACAACATTCTTCATGAATGACAACATCTATACTATTTTTCCAAAGCAACTGGACCTATAAATATAATTAAAATATAATTACTTCGATATCTATATAGGTAAGAAATAATAATAAAATGGGAGAAAAGAAATTCATCTTACAGTTTTCTCTAAGTCTTCACTCGTCTGTAATAAAATGTGTGAAAAATATTACCATAAGTATCTAATTAAACAAACCTCTAGTGGTGACTAACTATGGTAAACAATAGAACAAACTTTAAACGGCTCTACGTAACACAACAATTCATACATTCAAAAAAAAAAGATAATTCATTGGTATGTTCCAAGGTCATGTTTAAACAAATATACGACTTCAATAAAGATAAAGATAAAGAATTGGATAACAATCGACACCAAATATATAAAAACCACAGTAAAATTAATGAGTATGAACACCCAATTATTTGAAGATTCAAAAAGACAATGAAAACCTAATCTTAGTAATGATAAGTCCCCCAATTGATAACACAACAAATTTATGTACCAAAATAATTAGTTTGATGTTGGGATATGGGGCTGGGCAAAGCTGCTTTAATAGCTCTAATAGAACTCGCATGCACCAACTTAGTTAATGTTCGATTAACATTGCTCATCGTGCATCACATGGATCATTTTTAAACAACTTAAAAAATTAACACCGAGAAATTTAAACATACACATACATCTGCATTGTGAACACTTACACGTATAGGATGCAAAATGCCTTGGCAAAATAATAAAGGAGTATGATCTAACGTATAAAATGAAATACTTCTCATTATTAGATTTCTGAAACACATTTAGTAGAAAGAGAAAAGCGAACAAACCACCCACAAAGAAAAGCAAACAAACCACCTAAAGAGAAAAGCGAACAAACCATCCAAAGAGAAAAGTGAACAAACAATCATTCCAACCATTAAACAGACCCACACCAATCAACTTTAAACGAATCCATGGCATGAGATTAGATAATTAAGTAGACCCACATTAATTTACTTGAAAATCAATCCATAACATAACGCAAATAAATTGGGGATTTCACTCTTTCCAAGCTGACACACATTGCTCTAGTCTAAAAGCAATCCAATGACAATAAAAATATATATTTGGTCAGAAGTAATAGGCAAATTTCAGTTCATAAAACATCATATACCCTAACATATCAACTAATCCTTTCTTCAGAAATGTTACCTCTCTCACATTAAGTCGTAAACATATCATTGAACTCGAAGCAACTCCATCAACCAATAGCAAATGTGACATTAAGTTAAAAACACAAACCTACCACATATTATTGTGGATGATAACTACCAAGAATAAATCCATAAATAGAAAGAGAAACAAGCTTTGAATATATGTCAATGATATCATCTTGAATCAATTAAAAAAATACAGAAACCCAGGCATAATAATAGCAATCGTCAAATCAACAAAAATAAGCACCAGTAATCCGACCTCTAAGCAAAAAAAACCTCCACAGTAGACACAAATCCATAAGTACATATTGGATTCCCTTCAATAAAGAATGTTGCAGTTGGGAGAATAGAACTTATGCCTTAATATTGCAAACCCACATTATGCTAGTAATCAATAGAATTCTGCACAAAGAAAAAGAAAAAGAAAAAGAAATTTGAATAAAAAAAGTTAGCACTGAATCCTCAAAAAATCAGTCTCTGAAACAACCAAAGTAAATCGTGGGTGAATGGGTGCGTGGTGGGTCTCTTTTGTGTGTGTGTTTGTGTGTGTGTGTGTGTGATGTGTGGGGTGATGAGTGCGTAGAAGAGGGCAAGGAAGAGGCGGGGGTAGGATGGGTGTGTGTGTGTGTGTGTGTGTGTGAGAGAGAGAGAGAGAGAGAGAGATGAGGCATACCTGGGAGGGGTTAGCAGCGGTGGTGCGGTGTTGCTGGTGGTGTCGCTGGGGCGGTGGTGGTGTTGCTAACTTCGGCAATGGATGGTGGTAAGAAGAAACAGAGGGAAAGAGAAGGGGAGAGAGAGAGAGAGAGACGGTGGTGGTGTTGTTGGCTTCGGCTTTGATGGTGATGTTGCTGGTAAGAAGAAACAGAGAGTGATGGCCTGTGAAAGCGTCTGACAGAAGGGTTAGGGAAAAAGATGATGTCCAAGCCATTTTTTCCGTTGTACCGTGGAGAAGAAGTGACTGCTGGCAGATGAAGTGACTGAAAGATCAAATTTTTGAATAAATTTGTGGGTTAAAAATGATGAATTTGAGAGAGAATGCGAAAATCTATGACCGTTGGATGAAATGAATTGTAACCGTGCGATCGGCTTGTTGAAGCCCGCTGTATTTTATATTATAGATGATATGTTTTTAATTATGTTATGATATTTTATAATTATGTTGGATTATTTAAAATGTTATATTTATTTAAAATTTTAGATTATGTTGACTTAGACTTGGACTTGGGCGGGTAAGGTGGGCGGGGGCGGGGGAGGGGGATGGGACAAGGACAGGGATTACAAATTTACCTGCGGATGGGGATGGAGATGAAAATTATACCCGTTAACGGGAATGGACCGAAGATAGACAAATTTTTTTTAAGCAAATACGAGAATAGAGGCTGCACCCTTAGCCCCCCCCCCCCCCCCCCCCCAGTCCAATGTCATCCCTAGTTGTGGTTAGGTTTGGTAAAGCGCAACAAGACTACTTTGAGCCTTGTGTATGTATAAATAGCAATTCAGGCTGGTCTAGTATGGTACAGTAAGAGCAAAGCAATTCTTCATTTTGATTAATTTGGTAACTTGTGTTTTCAGACACAGTACAATGTGAATGATTTTAAAAAAAAAACTTGTAACCGTTGAATTACTCTATTTGAAACCATCATATAAACTTGTTAAAAGTTTACCCTATTTTATATTATAAATTGTAATTCCTGTGTCTTCAACTATTGTAAGGACCCATGTGAAGTGACCCATCATCCAAAAACCAAAGGCAGCCAGTAAAGAAAAGTAAAATAAAAGTGGGTGGATGAGTTTGGTTTCTCATCGCCCAAAAAATCAAAGTGAGAAAATCAAATCTCACATATATAGATAAAGACTAATAGTTGTAAGACAATATTACCTTTAAAATTTTATTAAAAAGATAATTGTTTTCCTACCACTTGTAAATAATTTATTAAATATTTTATAATTTAGTTACATACTAATTAAATTTAAAAAAAATAATTATCTAGTTAAACAAATTATTTCTTAGCAAGATGAAAATAACTAATTTAGAAATTAAATTAAATGTAATCAATCAAAGCGATTAAAACAATTTTTTTCTCAAATTCAATTCAATTCTAATCAATGTCATTACTTATATTAATAAAGTCACCAAGACCAAATCCAATCCATTCCGTCAATTAAACCAAATTAACTCGATCGATTTAGATGTGATTAGGGGTGTCAAGTTTATTCTGCAATCCATCTACTCAATCAACAAAATAATGAGTCAGTACCTGATTTATTTACTCAGGTCACAAACAAAGTTGAATTGTACCTATCAAACTAATCAATTTAGTAATCGTTAGACGAATGATGATGGTCGTGGTGGTGAGATGGTTACACTGGTGAATATGGTACCTATGGTGATAGTTGTAACGTAGTGGTTGTGGCCCCAGAAAATCAACGATGGTGGATTGGTGGCCGGGGGTGTTTAATATGGTGTGTTTTTACTTTCCTCTATGATGTATTTATATAAATTCGCTCTCTCTCCCTCTCTCCCTCTCTCTCTAACCCTGCCAAGGGTTTGAGTTCCAGTGTAGATACACTGCGTGTAGAGACAAATAGCTGATTTCCATAGTGGTTCAACCAGTACAAAAATCTTTGATTAAATTTATATCTACGCCCCAAAGAAAAGAAGGGTTTGATCCCAAGATTCAGACACAGTTGATATAACAGAAAAATTGGCAACTGAATCTGCTTACAGACCCACATGCCAATCAAGTAATTCCATCCAATTTGTGAAGGTAGAAGTAAATATGTGCTCACAAAAGGGTAAAAAAAAAGGGGGAGCCGGGGAAAAAAAAACACCAACGATCTACTGAAGCTTCTTAATCCCAATGAGAGCATCACCATATCCAACCGGGTCTGTTCAGTGAGATAGACCAAACAAGAAAATGTATTAAAATACTTAACAAGAATCATTGGAAGATAACAAAAGACATGCATACATACCACCATCCTCACGTAGTATCTTGATGACCTCTCCAGATGTGTCGGACTAGGCAATAATAAATGTGGAAAAGATTAATCAGTAGCTGCATCTTATATATATATATATATGGCATGAATATGTATGTAAACATTATAGAGGAATACAAGAGATGAAAGGGAATAGCAGCCTCCATCCCCCTTTTTCTTTCTCATTCAAACCCCAAGTATACATGCATTATAACGCAGATATAAATATGAAGTCAAGGTCCAAACCTCTATGGGGATCTCGCCACCAAGCTGTTCAATGTAGCAAAGCACCTGTCCCTCCTTCACTATTTGCTTCTGTTATGGTGTGACAAAAATGTATCAATACAGAGGAAAATAGTGTTGTTATGGCATTAAGAGTCAGATGACATTGCACGCAGCGACATCATCTTCAAAAGTACATAAAAAAACACGGTGACATTGATTTACAGTTGCAAAGGATAGGGCCACCGGACAGGTTGGGGGTGCTTTAGTGATTTATGGTAAACATCATACTCCAAAGTGATACCAAGGACTTAATCAATTTATAACACAGCCAAGTTGTTTGATGTTTCAAACCCAACTGCCTGGCAAGAAAATAAGTGTTCTCCTTGCTGATGGTTTTGGGGAAACACTCAAAGCAACCAACTACCCCAATGTAAGATTAGAATAGGAAAGGGAAAAAAAGCAGGTGATCCAGAGAACACAAAGTTGACAGTGAGATATGGATACTTGAACAATAAAATAACTCAAGAAATAGTTGGAGTTTGGTAGAGAATAGACAATGCAGCGCAAGACCAAAGGTGCAATATTTTTTAGACTTAGAATTTCTGGGATCATGTTATAAGCTATCTATTCAAATTTTCAGAAAATCAGATTGTCCTGACCTTTCATTACTAGGTCATCCGGTAACTAACTTCCAATTCATTTTTGAAGGCATGTGAATACACAAACACACGCACAAAAAAAAAAAGACTTAAATTATTATACTCGCGCAAAAAAAAATTATTTTCATCCCCCAAAAGAATTATAAATTGGAAGTTCTCAATCGATAAACGTTGGTTGCAGGAGGTGTTGAAAAATAAATCAGACAATAAATAGTAAAATTGAGGACAAAAACGAATGTCAATATAGCTCATTTCAGATTGAATAACAAACAAAAAGGTAACTCAAAGTCAATGCAATTTCTCAATATGTTCGAGTGCAGTGTAATTAGAAAATCAGCAAAAATATCTTCTTGTTGTAGGTCATGTTCCTGGTCAGAAATATAGCAAAATACCTTTCCAATACATAAAAGCATGGTTAACGTTGAGAGGAATACCTCTTTGCATGACGGAGGTGCGCGCTTCCCTTTAATAGTTCGAGATCTCCTGAAATACCCAACCTGCAATGCTTATACAGTCAGTGCATGGAACTCCCCGAAAGAAAATGAATTTGTTTTCTTGTATTCTCACCCTTGGAGACTGAAGTACCACCAAGCCTTCATCTGCGGCTTTAAAAGGTAAGGGTTTGGATAAAGACAGTGAAGAGACTGATCCATTTAGGTCAGGTGTATCAACTGTCGCACTGGTACTGACAGGTGCAGAAGTTGGAGGTGGCGAAGTTTTACTTCTCCCGGTCAAGTCCCTCAATACATAAAGTCGAAATCCATCAAGCTGAAAAAAGAGAAATAGGAAAAGGGGGTTTCAAACGGAAGCGAAAAATTTTCCAAAAGAAGGATCTTCTTAACCCAGTATACCTCAAAATCTAATCACGTTCAAGTTTAACAAGAAAACTTCCAAATATAAATTTAAAAAAAAAAAAAAATAACCACTCACATTCAATTCAAACTCTGCAACTGAAGTTGTATCGCATAATTTTGTGAGAAGATATTCCACCTGTAAACAAAATTTAAACCAGACTTCATATTTTTTAAATGAAATGGAGTCAGATATGCATTTATAATCATGGGCGAGTTTGCATGCAGGCATTGGAAATTTGGAACAGCCACACATTATTCTAGTCAAATGAAATACCTTTTCTTTTCTCCTCTTTCTTGGAGACTCTTAATACAGCAAGAAAGGGGCAAATATGCTTCTAAAAAACATGTTCACTTATCTGACTATTCCACTATTCCTATGGAGAGACATATTATGGGATATGGTATAAAATAGCCACCAAGTCACAACCGCTGACATTCAATGTCCCAAAGTTTTCTTTGGTGGAGGTTTTTAAGGTTCAGAGAGTCCAAGATTGGGTTTTCAGATGTAATTTTTAGTATCTTTTACTGGGTTTTAGAATCCCCGTAGTTGCATTGTTAATTACATTAAAGTCACAATTACAAAGAACAGGTACTGACAATGTAACAATAAGGCAGCTATGGTTACTGATCTAAGTTAAGGTTTTCAACATGAAATGGAAATTTTGAATCAGTAGTATACACACACACAGGGGGAGAGAGAGAGAGAGAATTAAGGAAACAGTTAAAAACCAATAGATATAAAGTAAGATTTTAAATACAACGACACGGCATGTAAGATATCAGTAGCCATGGCTAACAAATGATAGGCACCAAAGTATGCTATGCAACGTACAGATTGCAAGCTACTGATATAGTGATATTCACCTCATATGAGCTGGGAATGGGGTGGCTTACTGCACCGGAGGATATAGATTCTCTAGAACCCTCTTCCAATTTTGTAGTAGCTGCTTTTTCATCAAAAATAAATGTCTATATGAGCAATAATGCAGTACTAAATAGTTACATGAACAAATAGGGTGCTCGTTTTGGTAAACAAAACGACATACACACCTTCTTCTGGTCACAGCATTATAATCATGACATTACAAATGAAACCCCAGAATCGCGATATACAAATTTCAGCGATGTGATTTATCATAGGTAAAAGATTGTGATAAATGAACGAAGAAGATCCAGCAAATGTGAAAAAACTTTGACTGCTTAAGAATCATTGTTTAATCTGCCAACTCTGTCCTCAGTGAGTTGTTTTCGTGAATTATTGGAAGCAACTCGGATTAAAGTATCAGATAGATCAATTTTATTGAACTAGTGAAACAATATTCCCTGATAACTGTCGAAACTGGCTTGACGGCTCATTGCATAAGGTGGTCGGGCCCTATAAATGTTCTCAGTCACTGGCAGCTTCTCTAATATGCATAGAGAATCTTGAACCACCTTGGCTCTGAGAAAATTCTTTTATACAGGATCGGAGCCCACATCATTACCAATAAGGTGTAATCACTTTCTTAAGGAGCAGGGGTAGTTTTCCCATATTTGTTCTATATTCCCATATCCTGCTTCGAACTTCATCAATGATAACAACAAAAATTAGAAGTTCCAAATTCCTCCAGTAACATTTCAACCCAAAGGAATCTAGGAGCAAAATTTTGTCAAAGCTTGCAAAAAAACCATTTTAAATGGAACATACAACGCAAAGAATTTTGTACAGTGACTTTGTGGTAAAACATACAACCAGCAAAGAAATCTGTAGGATTGAATTTTGTACAACTAAATTCCATGGTTTAGCATCTCGTGAAGACTTTCTCACTCAGTATCTAAAGTCTGAACCCTCCACAAAAATTACTGTGGCATCCTTGCATGCGACTAGCACTCACTAGCATAACGAAGTAGTAAGTTGTGCCAGACTCCATATAAACATGAGGTGGATACCAGCAAAACGCTATCAAAGTTTAATTTACAAGTAAATCATAATAAAACCCATATGCCTGACTAGCATACAATTTTGCAAGTTCTACCACAAAGTCGGTAAATACGCTGAAAGGTGCACCTTTGATACCCTCATAATAGCAGGTTATATTCTATCAAAGTTCTTGAACTCACTAAGGCATGAATTCTGGTATAACCCATACATATAGTACTACACTAGTTTAGAGACAAGTAACTAGTGGCTGTTTAATGATCACAATGATCAAGATTCAGTAGATCACTAAATTATTAGCTTAAAAACATAAAGAACATATAGCAAAGCACTATGGCTTGAAAAAACGCATAAATTCATGTCAGCAGTGCATAGGGAAAATATAAACAAGAGAATCAACCAAAAAAAAACAAAAACACAAAAACTCACTTACCTCCGGCTTCAACAGATGAACATTGACATTCAATTAACGCTTTCTCTGATCTCTGTGATATTACCAAACGATCATATCTTGTTGGAGTAACAATTCTTGTGCCATGCAGCAATTGTAATGTACCTAATTTAGGTCTAATAGAACCACCCAATTTCAAGATTGGGGTTTTAATACTTGAAGCTCCAAAACTACCTGGTGTGATGAAAAACCAACAACACGTAGTCATCAAACTATGTCGTCTGAAAATACAACGTTTTGCACAAACAAATAACTAATTGACATACAAAGGATAGGAAAAATATGGTAAGAAGAAATAGAGGGAGAGAGAATGACCCTTAATTTTACACCTATAGATACAAAAAACGTACAAATTATTTCTGTAAGCATGATCAATTTGGGGTTGCCAATGGGGAAGGCACTTTCAATTTACTCAAACACACACAAGTATAAATTTACATGTGTGTGTGTATGTGAGAGAGAGAGAGAGAGAGAGAGAGAGAGAGATACATGCAGCCATAGAGACGCGAACTGCGGGTAGAGTTTGAAGCTGGCTTTTAGAGGTTATACAGACGATGAAAACGAAGGAAGAACCACAGAACAAGTTGGTTTCCAGCTCGGCTGTGCAAGTGTAAATTGGATTGAACTCTGCCCCCACACGACATTATGGCTTTTGGTCCATTTCAGGCCCATCAGCTGTGTAAGTGTAAATGGGATTGAACTCTGCCCCCACATGACAATTATGGCTTCTGGTCCCTTTCTGGCCCATATTACAGGGCTCAATTGGGAGCCCAAATTCCCAGCATGGGCATTCAGGCCCGTTTTTTCAAAAACTTATTTTATTGGTCTAATTTACTATTGTCGTTATTCTTGGATTAATAATAGATCCTAATATTAAGTAGAATTCATTATTTAACTCGATTAAAATAATAATTTTGATCATTGAATGTCCAGTTGAAAGTGATCTCTGCTTGATTTAAAGAATAATCAACATATTCATCAATACATTCATTGTGGCCAAAAAGTACATTTGTTTTATTCTTGTGTAAAAGCATGTTTGTGTTTGTGTATAATTTCCTATTTTTCTCTTATTTTTTATTATTTTTAAAGGAGTCATCAATATATATTAGTCGACATATCGGTATATTTGATATTAGAGGAAAATCTTTATTGATGGTGTAATTTACGCAATTTTGTAGCTGGGCCCTAGGCTCAAAAAGAGAAAATAAATTAGAGATTCATAAAGGACGTTAATGAAATTTATTGGAATCTCAGTCAGAGCTACTAGGATCTCGATGGTAAAACAATAAACACAAGGATAATCACAAAGAATAAAAATTAATAGATAGAAAATTTATAGTGGTTCACCAATTTGAAAGTTTGACTAGTCCACTATAATAGAGTCTCTTGCTCTTGAGGGAGTTTTCTATTGCTTTGGGAAGAAGATTACAATGCTCATAAGTGTCAATTCATAGATATATTTTTTTCTTTACAATGTGAGTGAACCCTTCGAGGTTGTTATAACCCATGTGATGGAATATTTGGCTGTTGAAGGCTACATTCCCTAGACGTGACATGACCTTTTAGAAGGTATAAGTTGTCGCTATCGTAGTATACACGAGGGTCACGTTAGTACTGACTCTTGATCTACGATTCCCGAGCTAGGAATTACGAGCTAGGAGGTCTGAGCTGGGCAAATAGGGATTGAGAGCTCAGCTTGTTCACCCGACTTTACTTGTCTCGTATTGGAACCCAGATTCTAACATCATCACACAGGCCCCCTATTGGGAGCATGTCTCCAAGGTGCTTTTTGACCGAGCTTAACCATGCATAATTTTTTATATCATCAGTTGTCCCCCAGTCCTTAATCAAGTCTGCTTTGTCTGACGTGGATTATGACTAACTTGCGCTTCTGGCTATGGATTAGCTTGGCTCACACTTACTTGGAATAGGCATGTTGGGATGTTTCCCAGGGATTTAGATGTCACATGTGTGTGAGGAGTCACTCGTGCCTTAATTATCGTGCACGTCCCATTTGATTGTGCCATGCGTCCAATCATACAAGCACCTTAAATGTCTACGCAGATAAAATCGCCAAAATTTCCCTATTTAAGCTTTTTTCCCTTTTCAAATTCTTATACGTTTTTCCCAGAAAAACCCTTCTCTCTCTGTGCCTCTTGCAACTCCATCTTCTTTCTCCCGTTTCCTATCATTTAAACAGTCTCAATGAGTGCCCATATTACTTGGAGGACTTCCGAAGCTTCCTTTACTCTTCTCAAACATTTTTCTTGGTCCCCAATTGTCAATTGCCTTCATTCTCTAGGTACGTTTTCTATCTCGTTTCCTCTTTAGCTTCTCTCTCCTAGGGTTTTCTAGTTAACCTTAGATCCCTTGAATCTGAGGTGGTTCTTCGACTTTTGATCATTTTGCTTCCATTACTTTAGGAGTTCGGGTTGATCTTTATCTCATTTCCCTATTTTCTTGGACCCCTATGTGATTGCTAGGGTTTTCCTTTTTGGTTTTTGTTGCTTGGATCCGAGAGCCATCGAGGACTGTTCTTTAAACTTTCCTTCCCTCTACATTTGCTTTGGATATTTCACTCTTCATGCCCCCTATGCCTGCTTCCTCCGAGTCCACAGGGTCTTCCATTTCTCTTACTATGGTTGACAAGTTTCCTGAGGTCGAGGTCCGATCTCATCGTCATAAATGGACTAGTTTTGATAGTGGAAACGATCTATCGAGCTCCCCTAAGCCTAATATGTCTGTTCCCGATGAGATTGAAGACCTTGGGAAAGTAGGCGTTGAAACAAACAACTTTTCTGAGGTTAACATAGTCGAAGCCCAGGCTATTAGTGCTAGGGCTCCCTTGCTCCTTCCTGGCTCAATTGCAAAACCTAAGAGGTCTCGGAAAAGATGAGCTAGGAAAAATGTCATCAGGGCCTCAGGCTCAACTAGAAAGGATGAAAAGACCCCGAGCACCTAGTAGAATTTCCCATCCTCAGCTCAGCACAATCTCTGCCAAATTCAATTTCCCTAGGAATATGCTTGTCTGGTGTCCCAATGTTGACAACTGTTACAACACCATGTTTCCTAAGAAGACCTACTTCTTCTCAGCTACTTTTGAGAACAGGCTTATGTTTCCCATGCACCCCTTCCTAAAGTCCGTGCTCTAGCACTTCAACATATGTCCGGCTCAACTCTCCCCTAATTTCTAGAGCATCCTAGTGGGCCATATGGTTTTTTTTTTTAGAAAATTGGTCTCATAGGTTTTACTTATGTTCCTTTACTCATGAATTTCTTCATGAGTACGTCAAGTTCTTTCTTGTCAATAGCTTTCTCTTTATTTCAAAAAGTGTGAAGACTTACCCTCTGAGTACCAATTTGCCAACCTCGCACAAGGGTTAGAAAGAAACTTTTTTCTTTATATCTTGCCAGGAGTGGGAGTTCAACCCGGGGGATGCTTTAGATACTTTTCTTGTGCCTCAAGCTTGGTCAGACCCAAATAATTTGGGTGTCTACGTCAAGATGTCTTAATTAACCTTTATTCTCATTTGTCCTTAACGTTTTGATTGCTAACATCTTTCCTTGTTGTTTTAGGTATTTGCCCTAACCTCTACGCCAATGACAAGCTCCTCCTTCTGGACCTTAAGGAGTGTTCCTCAGAGAATTACGTCAAGCTTATCTCATCATCAATCATATCTAAGCACAGATTAGGGCCGCCAATAGCCAAGGGTGAAACCGTTGTACCCCTTTCTGCAATTAAAGGAAGAGATCTTCCTAGTAAGATCTCCACCTTATACTTTATGTCAAAATTTCATCATATTTTCTAGGATCTCTACTCTAAACCTTTGTTTTCCTTTCTTGCTTAGACCTTGATGCCATAGCTTCAGATGCTGATGTCGTTAAGGTCAAGTTGGCCAAGATGAGGGTTGATGCTAGAACCTTAAAGGCTACTAGAAAAAGGAAGGTTGAGGTCATTTTTGAAGCTGACCTAGAGCCTTCAAAAAAAAAATTTCAAGGAAGGACCCCAAGAAAAAGACTCATCTTGCTCCCAAGCCACCTATTGATGCTAAGAAGGTTAAAGATCCCCCTTCCAAGCTCAAGAAGACTCTTGTATAGGTGGTCAAGACCTCTGCCATGCCTAAGGAGGTGGAAGCTACTCCATATCTATACGACCACCTCTCAATATAGACTTCAAAGGAAGCACCTTTGAGGGTGCCCCATGGCACACGCAGGGAGTCCTTCAACTAGTGTAGTCAAGGGTAAACACTCTCTTCTAAATGATGTAAACCTAACCATCAATGTTATACTTTTAATCATTCTTGAAACTGACATCTATAAGGCTTCCTCGATCCCTCTTTCTACCTTACCTTCCAATGCCTTATTTGGGGCAACCTTGGCAAGTTCTTGACCTCTATATGCAGGGTGTAATGGAACCATCTTGCTAATCTCTATCTTGAGTTTATTTCTATTTTTGTATATGGCGATACTATAAAATTTGGTAAATTTAAACTTTTACAAAAAAGGCAACACGATAAATTGTCGCTAGAGTACGGGTTAAAAATCTAAATTTTTCTAGATCTCGGATGACGAAACAAACCTCGCCGTTAGATTCGTCTCGCGAAATCTAGTTATCCTATCAAATTTTGAGATAGTCAGATTTTTTACGTTTTACGAGACAGTCAGGTCTCGGGTGACCCAAAAATGAGAATTTTGATAAATTTTAAAATTTGAGAAATAATTTAAAGAAAATTAAAATAAAATTATTTTGAACTTAAATCGGAACGAAATTTAATCATTTCGAGGCGAAAATGGACTCGAAAAAATAGGCCCGTGTGGCGCGTCATGGGCCAAGCATTGAGAAATATAAATAGGGAAAAAAAATCAAATTTTTACCTCATTCTTTTGCCCCAGCCGTTAACTGATAGAGAAGAAAGGAAAAAGAGAGAAGAAGTCAACATTCTCTTTATGATCTATGACATTCCGTCGCTCAAATCCACTCAGGCCAAGAGTTAAAGTCGATCTCCTCGTCGAGGACTACGTTTACGTACAAAAAACGAGGATTTTCACCGAAGATTGAAATATAAGATTTTGGAAGCTTGAGATTTGGACTAGAAGTGGGTTCTTGGGACTTCCTACGTCGTTCCTTATGCTTCAAGAGGTAAGGTTCATTCCTACTTAAGTTTATTTAACCTAGGGTGTAGTATGTAATGGGCATGTTCATAAATAAATTTTATCATTACATATGTTGTGGAAATTGATGAAATGGGTGTTGAAATTGGGTAAAATAAAATTTTACCTTGAAATGAGTTGTGAATTAGACTCAATGTGATCCATGGAATAGGGTGTTATGTGGGCATATTATGTGTTTATTTTATGTCTTGGGAATTAAGTGTGTTGTTAGTATATGTTATATAATGACATGCTCGTGAATTATTATTGAAAATAAAATGTTGGTATATGTTCATTGATGTATTGATATTGTGATGAAATTGGTGTTAAATTGCATGATATATATATACATGTGGTTAAAGTTGCTCATGTAGCATTCATTACATATGAGCATAACATTGAGATAGCAATTGCGCATTACATATCATATGCACAGAGACATC